CAATCGATCGCATTTTGAAAATATACACTACGGGCTAACCGTGTATTTAAAACCGCGAATACTCAACGATTTTCAACACGTGGTTAAAAAACACCGTTTCGTCGGAATGTTTTAAAAAAATAATTGTATGTTCCATCGAAAAATCGGTCTATTTCTAGTCAGTAGGTATTATACGTCTCGTTTTCTCGTCGAATTTCCGTGCATTTTTCATCGTGTTTCGTTTACGACGTCACTATCGCGCATTTTATTGTACGTTATACGATTATAGTAACGATCGACTCGGGAGCAAAAGATACGATCAAATTTTCCAGTAGGTACCCGCGATGCATTATATATATGGTAATGTGTGTAAAAAATAAAATTACAATTGTAACGGCGAATTTCCCGCGTGTTAAAAGACCGAAATTCACTATACTATACTGGTGGTGAATTTAATATAGTTTTCAAGTCGTCAAATATATATCGTATTCAAAAAAAAAAAAAACCAAATTAACCGATCGTATACCGAAACGATATAGTAAAACCGATGTATGTGTATTTGTAAAAAAAAAAAAAACTGTCTAAATTTACGTTTTCGTGCGACGACAATTTATTACGAAAATATATAAATATGTTCCATACATAACTTTCATCATTAAGTCCGTCGCGCTCTCGTCACAGTTTTAAATTAAAATTATTTTCGATAACATTTTCTGTATTTAGAAAATTTCAAATTGTAAAGTCGCCGATTTTTTAAAAACATTTTATCGTCAGTAACGACTCATTGCGTTCCCATATCATTTGATTGCCTCTTAAAATATGTCTGCACTGAAATATGATAAAACGCAGTTGCGCAAAAAAAGTGAGTCCAGTATGATTGTTCATAATGTAATATGCTACTGTAGGTAAATGTATATAAATTGGAACGTATAAAAACGTTTAAAAATTAAAACGCGGTGTTTTTGTTTTGATACGTGTTGTCCGAGAATTTAGATTATGACGTGAATTAAGAAAAAAAAAAAACAATTTTAAAACTGGTATTATGTGCCTGCTTATAATATAGTTGTTAAAAAAAAAAAAAATAATAATACGAAAAATGAGTATACTGATGTGTTCAGTTAAATTCCTTGGTCCAAGGTTAAAGCCTATAGGTGTAAAAGGTGTATAGTTATTTTATTTTTAACTCTATAGTATAACTGCAGTATAGGTATTATATTTATTGTATTGTAACCAGTTTTACTTAACCATTTTGAAACGCCATACGAAACGAAAAATCCGTACATGTTTCGCACAATGAGTGGGTTGTTGGTGGGAAATTGGGAGGGTTATATGTTATAGGGACTATAATAGATTATAGAATAATTGATTTTGGTCGTATAAATAAATAAATCATTACAATCGAGAAACGTTTCTGAGCAAAATTTGGTAAACTGATGCCATTTGTTGTCAGATTTTTTGTTTTGTTTTTTTGGAAGAACTGGGGAAGTCAGACAATTTGTTCGAGTGATGTGATACCTGGTAAAAAACCTGGGAACAGTTTGGAGCATTTTAATTTAGGTGCCGGCGCTTTTTTCGTTTCAAAAACACGCGTTATGAAAAAAATGCTCACGCCTTGTATAGAAATTGCTCGATTTGGTTGATTATTTTTCTGCTACAGAAAAAATGAAGACTTCTTACAGACTGTATTGAACTCGGTAATTTCAACATTTTATAACATCTCAAACCTAATATGCAATAAGCATTGTAAAAAGTCAATTTTTAACTTGTACTATACTATCTTTTGAAATCAAATTGAAAATTCAGAGATCAATACGAACTGTAGGATGTGGCTGTTTATCAATTAACCTAGTTGTATACGAATACAATACTTGAAAATTTTACAATGGATTTCGTTCGAAACGTATAGAGTATTAATAGGTTTCAGACAAATGTGTAACTTAAAAAATAATTACCGATAAGTGAACGCTAAAATCAATACAAATAATAATTATTCATAGTTATAATAATTACCTAACGTTAACAGCATCTCGTTTAATCCCTTTCAACATTGTACGTAAATATTGTATATTAAAACTGTATATTGTAAAATTAGATAAACAATCGTTTTTTTTTCGCGATTACCGCGCGATTGTAATTGTATGTAGACGATTTGAAATAAAACGATAACGACAAAATATCAAATAATAACTTTTCATAGAAAGAAATTTGTCGACCGACTTCTTTAAAAATATAATAGGTATAACATAATTATATGTAACGTATTTTCTTGTTACGGAAACAATACGTTCAAAATATTATATAATAATATTGCAGATACAAAAAATGTTTGGTAACTGACAATTGTTTGTATAATTTTTGTTCATTTTTAGGCTACCACTGGTTAACAAGCGGGGGAAATACGATTACTTATACTCTGCCCAGAATCGTTTCTTGATAGCAACGGTTTAATGTTCAATAAATTGAATTACTGCATATATCTGCCCTTCACACTTACCTACTAAAACGGCTATCCACCTTTTGGCACATTAGCCTTATTTTTTAAGGTTTTTTTTTTCAAGCTTCTCATAATTTTTTGTTTTCCCTACGTAACACGTATTGCAACATATTTGTGGGTCAACGTTCAAATGTTTATACATATCACGACTTGTATGATATTTTTAATTTTCTTAGTCTCACGTTAAACCCGGTGTCCGTTTTAATAATTCGTTTTGTACATTTTAAATATAATTTCTTCGATGATATTGGTCTAGAAAACACCGTTTAACGAACGATTTTGTTTTTTACGCGTTCAATCTGATTAGCGTAATATTTCAATAGCGGTAATCCGTTGTTTTCATCGTTATGTAATAATAACAAATGCGTTCTGTCATCCGTTTTAACGCATTATTATTTGGCTTCGGATTAGTTATGCGAGTTGATAGCAATACGTGCGATCGGATTTAATGGGTCATATTACTATTTCGCTTTTATCTCCTCATTCTTTTATTATTATTATTTTTTAAATTTTATTGCTTGATTTATTATGTACATTTAGGTACATTCAAATTCATACATTAACTCACTCGCGATGAAATGCGAAGAAGACATTTAAAACGTGTGATAGATTTTCAATCCACTTCCCGTGATCCGATTACTTACAATTTGCGCTCATATTTTCGCTAACAATACAATAGTCAATTATGCAAATTTTTGTTTTCACACCCGTTTTCCAAAGAGGGGGTGAATGGTTTTCACGTTGGATATAACTACTAAGAAAACACATTTAAAATATCGAAAAATATCTCATAAAACTTATGTTCGTGTAAATAATTTTCCTTTTTCTCGAAGTGATGGAAAAATGATGCATAATTAGAAAAGTAAATAATCATTGAATCGTAGTTAAAAATAAAATAATTAATAGATAAGTAGATGATTAGATGTCGGATTTACTAAAAAGTAAATAATAATGAAAAATGTTAATAAAAGTGTTTTCTCCCGCCTATCATAATAATATTAATACTGAACACCCATAATAAATGGTGTAATACACACATACATTTAAGAACCGGTAGCCTTCGGCATAAATGGAAACCATTTTAAAAAAATAACTAAAGAAAATACCACAATCGTACATTGAGTACTCATATTAAGTAAATGTTTGTGCGGGAGACTATTTCAATACGTACAAAACGCATCATGCTTAAATATAGGTAGGTAGGTATATTATTAATTACTATAATTTTATTTTATTTTGATGTTATTAACATGTAAAGACACACAAGAAAATAATATTTTTATTAACATTTTAGATTTTGAGTGGAGCGAGGAATTTATTGGTTTTACACTGGTGGTTTTTTTTTTTTTATATCTTTGAACAACTTTTCTACCAGAAATTTTGCTTCGATTTACAATGATAGCACTTTTTTTGAAAGGAAATCTGACTAGAATAGTACTTTAAACAGGACATTTTTTGATTTTCTCAAAATTTTTCCCAATAAGTAGGAAAAACCGGAAAAATAGGTACAATATTAATCAAATACAATTTCAGAAAATATGCAATTATTTTACCATTGTTGGGTACAAATATACATACAATTTTCCCTCTACTACCTTCCCAACTTCTTACTTATAACAGTGGCTACAATCCCCATTATTCAAGGACAGCTTTTGTTATTATTATCATTATTATTTACTTTTTAATTAGTTTTATAAGCACTGATATTTAAAATTTGATTTATTATTATTTTGAATTATTTTCAGATTAACTACTAATGTCCAATACTCACTAAATTTTTTTAAAAAACCCACTAAAACGAATATCGTTTTCATTAGTCTTGTTAAATATGATATTGCGATTTTTATAAATAATAAAGAAAATCAAGAATATAAAAATATTATAATTCATATTACGTATTAAAATATGTTGGTAAACACATAATAATTTATCTTTTTAAGAATATTTTTAGAATAATAAAAAAAAAAGGTTTAATTTTAGATCTATCAAGAGTATCTTATCTACTAGTAGTGGATTCGGAGGAGGGGTTGTAATGATTCACCCTCTTCCAAACACTTTTGTTGTTTATTCATGAATTTTTGGAAAAAATTAAAAAAAGAAAAGAAAGTAATTTAAGGTATTGATACACCACTACTAACTATCACATTTTACTTATAAAATATTTTTAAAAACGAAAACACCCTAGTTGTATTTTAATAATATATCACACATTTTAAAAGAATCTATATTATTTGTTTTTTTTTTTCAGGTATGTATTGTAAATAAGTTAATCGTATACTAATTTTGAATAACTGTCTCGTACCTAGTGTTTATTGGAACATCATTGGTAAGTTTGACAACTATATACTTATTAATTATTATTATTATATCACCAGATAAAAAAAAAAAAAAATGTAAAACGAATAAGTTTAATGGAAAAATCGTTTACGTAACATATACGTGTACCTAATGTATATAATAATACGTATATATAATAAATCGTTATTTATTACGTAATTTATTATTTCTGAACTCTCGTCAAATATCCAACCGCAAATTTCGATCTATTCCGAAATATATTAGCTAGCTACTTGCTGTATAGAGATAATATTATATCGAGTTAATATTTTTGAATTCAAACTGGCATTAGTATAATGGACTTATAGGAATACATATAGGCACGATGGCAAATAGATAATTTATTTTATCAAATATATTGCATTCGATTTATTTGTCTTATAAGTTATAACAAATTAAATTCAGATCCTAATAATATTATTATATCGATCAGATCATATATGACCGGAAATCTGTGTCCAGTGTCATTCAGTTGTCATCACGTGTATCCTATTGGTTTGTCCACAGGATAAAGTCTGCGACAGCACTCTAATCGAATAGGTAGACCCCGACTTCAAGTCGTATATCTGCAGAAGTATATTGAGAAATACTATTTTTAGTTTATATCGATTCCGATTTTGCATTAATTATTATGTATAATATGCTGTAGTGTGTACGATGGTATGGTAACAAGTCTGACGGGCAAGTTAATAATTTTTATGGTCCTCAACTTTTTTTTACACCACCCCCTCTCCTTTTTTGTCTTTATGTAATCTTTTCGATCTGAAAGACATGTTTTTATGCATTTTTAAAATTGAACTGTATTGAAAACTATACGATATAAACTTGAGATCTTCTTACTTTTGACCAAAGATATATTAACTTAATAAAGAGTCAAATGAAAAAAGTGAAAAGTAAATTTGAAATTCAGTTGACTAATTAAGTTATTATTATTATTATTTATTATCATTGTCAGTGCCATACGGTGAAAATGATTAAATCTATATTTTCTGATTTTTTTTTTTTTTATTGTTATGTTCAACACCCTGGATTTATCGCAATTTATATACATATATATCAAACTATAATTATTATAAATTTGAAACTCTACACGCATTATTAAGTAAAAATGAAAAATACAATTTCTTTACATAACATTCAAATAGTGATAAGATTGTAAATTGAATAGCTTGTTAAAATTCAAAGAACTTCAAATGGACATAATATAGTATATTCCAAATTCTTCTTGTTATTTATTATGAGTGGATTGGTAGAAGTTTGTATTTTTTTTTTTTTTTTTTATGAATTTACCGTACGGTTGTAAGTTGAAATTGTTTCCGTTATTTGTATTTCTACATCGGGTTTACTGTCACAGCAATCAAAACTGTTTATGGATCCGATTTCCTCGGCATTTACGATGAACGATTTTAGTACGCCGTTGAATATCCTCGGAATGCCCCATTCGAGTATGATGTGATTTCAACCTATACGGGTCGCTTTAAGATTTCCCGGTTTTTCTGAAACTATTTCGATTTACAGATGTTAAAAAAAGAAGGTATTCAGGGTTTTTGAAAATAATATTATACAGGTTGATTCACTAAGCATGTTCACCTTATTTTCTTGGTTAAATTTTGCATTTGTTAAATTCTGATTTTTAGAATTTTTAACTGTTTTAAAATAAAAATTTTGATTTCTGTAAACCCATTGAAGAGATATTCCACTTTTAAGTTTCGGTAAGTGAAGAGTAGTAGAGCATAAAAAATTAGTGAGCCTTGCCACCACTCAAATGATACACCATTTGACGGAAATCAAAAATGTTGACGACATAATTTATTTAAAGTAATACTCATTTAAAAAAACCAAAGTTGGTATCGTTATAGGATGTTCTTTAATTGTTGTGAAAAATCGAAGTATATAGGCTTTAACTATACTTAAAAATGCTAAAATTCAAATTTGAATGTATGTAAAATTTAACTAAAAAAATGGGGTCATCACACTTAGTGAATCATCCTGTATATAGATCTAGGTACACTTATTTCCATCGCTAATATGGTCAACTGTCGATGTTGACGAACCACCCTTAGGGTAATCTATTGATTTGGCTTTTACCTAGATTGAAAAAAAAACAGGTACATTGAATTTTTTGAATTTTAAATACGTAGAATATTTTTTAAAACGAATTATTGAATTTATTTTGTTTTTGATGTTTTTCTTCAGATTTTTGAAAGTAGCATAGTAAAAGTTTTGCCACGCAGTACGTATTTCTGATTTTAATGTCATCTCTTCTGTAAAGCTATTTTTGTTTTCATCGTTCGGATATTATACCTCTATGGGATATTAACGGAGCAGCTATTGCATTATCCGAAGAATCCGCTAGTATGATAATGATAATACAAATCCCCAAGATTCGTATAGCAGTACTTTTAGTAATTTTCATGGTTGAAACAACTTTCATCTTTTTTCAAGCAGAGTGCAATAACGTTATTTAACAATGTATACTATTATTTGATACGCGTCAAATATAATAGAATTATACTACCTAAACGACGAACTGAGCACGATTATATAAAATGATTAAATCTATAGGTTTGTATGGATCAATATCGCAGGCTTTATAATATAATGTTAAACATATTGTTTTCGTATATATTCACAATCGATAAGGTATTTTTATACCTATAGATCAAGGGTCCCCACCTTGGCCCACCTCGTCTTTATTTGTGGCTCACGAACGCATTTTATGTATAAAATACACTCAACGTATAGAGTGTATTTTTTTCTATTTTGATAAAATTTTAGTGGCCATTAGATAACTGTATCGAAAACGTAGGTCGCCTTATTTATATCTAACGCGAAAAGATAAATTAGACTAGGTAAATGTATAATATATCTATGTTATAGATAGTTGGCTGCTAACGGTTATTATTCCTCTATTTTAAATAACACCAATTTCCGTATATCTCTTTACAATTTATTTAAATACACAGACATTTTCTGATTTTTCACGTGACATGATGTCAATCAATGGTCAAGGGCTATTAATATTTAATAATGACAACTGATAATTTATTTCTATACAATTCGAATTCACAATAATACATAATACTTCGTACATACATATTTATACCCACGTAATAATATAGGTATGTATAACATAATTACATTATATTATATTATGTTATTTATACTGTGTATACAGTGTACACAGTTCCTTCAATACAGATCCTTATAATCTAAAAAAGTTTATTGAATTCATTGATCATGTTATAAATCAATTATATATCCATAAAAAGTTTAGCAACCATTGAGAAATTTGTTGAGAAAAAACAATGAAAAATGTCCCACTAAAAAATAAATAACACTCATTTTAAATTCGACTGTACTTATGTTGTAAACTATTTAATAAATAATTTGTAATTTAAAATATAATTATATAAAAATAATGTTTTTGTAAATTTTGTTACATCAAATAAAATTTATTAATGAGGACTTTTTTTTCATTTAACTTTACTGTATACGGTCTGCGAGATTTAAAAAAATATTGGTGACCCACCGTCCGTGTAGATAAAAACTGTGGACTCGCATTATTCGACTACGTGATTTTTCTTCCTTGGAGACTTTGATCCTTTACTATTTACATTTAAATATTTTTGATACGATGCACCTATATGTTTGTATATCAGCTTCTGAAAACCTGCGTAATCTACTGTTCCGTTATCTATTTGTATACAGGGTGATTCACTAAAAAATAAGGTCAGCACCCTTATTTTTTGTTAAATTTTGCATATATTCAAATTCTGATTTTTTAAATTTTTGCCTTGCCGCCACACAAATAATACTTCACTACCCCCTCCCCTACATAAACTTAAAAGTGGAATATTTCGTTACCGGGTTAATGGAAATCAAATATTAAATATTAGCTCAATGATTGCTTAAATGTTCTAAAAGTTTTACCACGTCTAAAAAAAGTAAACATACGTTTTTATCAACATTTTATTAGTCTCTATAAATGTTTTAAATTGAGCTTCTTCTTTTTTTTTTTTTTAAATTAGAGTTCAACTTGAGTTTCATTAAAAAAACTAAATTAAAAATAATAATTTTCCGAAAATTGTTACAAAAAAAGCACAAATAAAATTGAAAAACGATCACTTACTAGATTGAAAATTAAAAAAAAGGATCACCTGATGTTTTTCTATTGGAGCAATATTTTTGGTAGAAAGCCACCCGATAGAAAAATCGCTACGCTCCGAATCTAAAGAAAAATACACACATTTAGTTAATCTAATAAATCGAATCTAAAAGTAAATTAAGGTATTGATCCGCCATTATTATCTACCAAGTTTTACTTATAGATTATTTTAAAAACGAAAACAATCTTATCGTATTGTGATAATATATCACGCATATTATGATTAAAATTTAATTTAATTTATTTATTAATATAAAATGAAGACAATTTTTTAATCCCTAATTCATTTTTTTTTTTTTTTTTTTAGATATGTACCGTAAATATGTTAATCGTATAGGTATACTACTTATAATCGGTCTTGTATCTAGTTTTTGAAATATTATTGGTAATTTGACAGTATTAAATATAATTATTATTATTATCACCAGAAAAAAAAAAAATGAAAAAAAAAATGTATAGACAAAAAAGTCCAATGAAAATATTTGCGTAATATATAAGTGTTTCTAATGTATATAATAATACGTATACGATATATGTATTATATATCGTTATTTATTACATAATTTATTTTTTCTGAACTCTGGTCAAATATACAACCGCAAATTTCGATCTTTTCCGAAGTATAGTAGCTACTTTTTATATATAGAGACAGTATATCGAGAAAATATTTTTGAAATCAAACCGTCCTTAGTACAATGGACGTATAAGAATACATATATGCACGATAAAAAATAGATAATTGATTTTATTAAAATATATTACATTCGATTTATTTATCTTAATAATTTATATCAAATTAAATTCAGATCATAGATATATATATTTTCATATCGATTAGATCATTTGACCTGTGTGACTTGAGTATATTATTGTTACCCTTCATAGTTTATATTTTATATTAATTTTTTCCTACCGTTGTAGGCTGTAATAAGTAATCTTAGTGATTGGTGGGTATACTTTCAGTTGCTTTGTACCCACTTATTCACCTTATTACACTGTGTCCAGTGTCATTCAATTGTCGTCACATGTATCCTATTGGTTTGTCCGTAGGATAAACGATAGAATAGAAGATAACGTAAGATAATATTTCGTTGGCCATGCAGTACATATTTCTGGTTTTACTATCATCTTCATTGCAAAGGTATTGTTTTCATTGTTTGCAGTTGCTGTTATTATAAAACCATCGAAAGTATTATTTAATTCGCCAGGAAAACTGGAAAACTGTCGTTAAAAAAACCGTCGACCACTTTCATCCTTCTATCGTTCTAAAAACGTTAGCAGCCAATTGGTCATTTTCTCTACGTTCTCACTGTATATATTATAATATTATAATCAATTTTAAATAATACAATTTCTTGTTGAATAGATACTTAATAGATACAATTATTATTTTTTTTTTCAATCGCTTTATCTTCGAGGGGGACATCGATTTGGAGAAAAATTACATTTTTATTTTCATCCCAAAAAGCCAAAAAAAAAAAAGTAACTTTTTATTTATCCACTGTAAAAATTTTTATAATGGCCATTTTGTAAAAAATATTATTCAAAAACTTTTAATGTATCATACATTCATATCCGATGAATAGATTCTTAGTTATAGTCGTTTTAATTAGGTGTGAAAACAATTAATATTCAATAAAATAACGTTATGCGATAAGGAATTCCAATCAGCACGGTAATTCTTTACCTTCTATTGAATATTAATTGTTTTCATATCTGTAATCAAAAAATTAAAATTGTTTTAATTAAGAAACTATTAATCGAATATGAATGTATGATACATTCAAATTTTTAGAATAATATTTTTTACAAAATGGCCATTTTAAAAATTCTCATTGGTGAATAAATAAAGTAATTTTTTTTATGTTTAGAGGACGAAAATAAAAATTTCCCAAATTTTTTTCCCACTCGATGTCCCCCTCTAAGAAAAACCATATAAACCATTGGAAAAATTGTTCGCGTTATAGCATAAATAAATGTATACTATTATATGCTTACATCCGGATTTGGTTTTAAACGGAACCTTCAGCGCTTGTTCCGAATTGAATCCGAAATTCGTCTTAACGTAGACCTGTAGTTCATAATTAGTTTCGGGTTCCAACGCGTCGTAGCTCACCGAGTTTTGTTTGCTAATATTTACGACTTGGGTATCGTTGACAATATTCCACAGTTAGTATTAAAGAAAACATTTTATTAATATTTAATACGTTTAATCATTGTACAGAATAAAGGGTACGCGTTATCGAAAGTAATGACACCAGGATTCGTTGATTTTTTAATAAATAATTTACAAGAGAAATAGAGAAAAATATTTGTTAAAAAAATATACATAAATTTAAATACATACCTTTAATATAACATGATATCCCTTAAAAAATCCGTTTAGTTTTATACATTCGTTGGTATTTATTGTCCAGTTGAACCATGCCGTATGGTTGGTGACATACGAATTATCGTCATTATAAATTGGTGTTAATTTCGGAACTAAACGATACAAATTTAAATAATATCGTTAAGTAAGTATAATATTATTGTCAACTTTTTTCGTATAATTTATAAATGTAGACTTGTAAAAGATACTTTTTTCAAATGTATTACAATTAGGTGCAAATATTGATTAAAAATAAAAAATTCAAATAATTAATATTATTATTTATGGAGTTATTCAGAGTATGCGTCGTATACCTAAGTGTTAAAGTATTTCGCCCAAAACAATTTTTGTGTACTTATGAAACGTATTAAGGTATAAGTACGTATTATGTAGAAATTATTCCATTTAAAATCAAAATAATTATGAAACACAATACCACTCGTAATTTGTATATGTATAATTTTTGTTAAATACTTAAAAAGTGACATGTTGGTTATATTTTCTTGACTTGGCCGTTTTTAAAAAAATTATATTTTCGTGTTCGTTATACGAATATTCTTTTACGGCGGACGACACTATAATTATACTTTTACAATGTATTGAGTATTTGGCGTCAAATCCCAAAGTTCGCGTTTCGTTTGGTTGTGCACCACGGCTGACGTCCAATTGCTCTCAACGGTTTTGTGGGAACAACTAAAATACTTGTTCACCTATAAAATTTCAAAATTTTAATTTTTAAATGATTACTTATAAGAACAGACTTTTTAAAAAATTATTTCAAAAATGGAATTTTATCTAGTTTGAGGTCATTTTTTGATTATCCGAGCAGTTTTCATGATAATTGAAAAAAAAAACGGGAAAAACCGAGAAAAAGAACGAAAATATGATTTATTTTTATTTTTTATTGAAATTTAGTTCAAATTGTTTGTAGAAACTTGAAATTTTGATAGAAAACTTAATATTTATTTTAAAGATATTTTAATTTTGCGAGTTTTTAACATTAGTTTTATTCAGTTTAGGTCTTCTGTGGATGCTTGAAAATTGAACTGTAGGTTCATTAAAAGTTGTATTTAGTGGTTAACCAGAAAAAGTTGAGTTTAATACAGTATTTCTTATTTTCTTTTTTGAATATTAATATCAAATTTTGACGAAAATCGTAAGTATTATAGCCTTTTAAAACATGTGTAATCGAACTTTTGTGAGAGCCATTTCCTCGTAATTGTAATAATTTATATTGAAAAATATAGAGATTAACTTGAAATGTTTAAATATTATTGCTTTGTTTTCATTTATATTCCATTCTGTTATTTAAATTTTTTTTTTTTTCGATTATCCGCGGGTAAGTGAAATTGATGTGAATTCTGTGTTAAACTGAAAATTCAAAACAAAAAAATAGTACATGTGAACATCAAATGCAATTACCCTGTACTTTACAATGTATGGAGTTTCGTATTTCGTGTCGTCATCAACGTCCCAAGTTATTAACACCGAACTTTGGTTGATTAGTAGTTGAGCGTTACTGTTTTTTATTTTAACAAACCCTATAGTAATTTTATTAAAAATAATAGTAATATATTATTTTCGTTTGTTATGACTTTATAATAAATACAAGTGATATAATTTTTTATAGTGCAATTTTCGTGCGAAAATAATTGGTGAAATGTTGGTTAAGGGCTATCTATTGATTTCAACTATAGCTCTAATTATTTACAACGTTGATCTCAACGTAAAACGGGGTCTTTAAAAGATTTTCATAAGATTTTGAAAATTAAGGTCTAAAATCCTCAACAAAATATGATATTGAAAACCCAAAATCAAAATCCTTCAAGAAATGACTTTAAAAGTCCAACGACTTTAAATCCTGCCTTGCTCAACTTTGCATTTTCTGTGTTATATCATTCGATATTATAAAATAATTTAAAAAGACTCTGGTAAATGATAACGTACTCATATTTAAGCAAAGGGCACTTTCGTGAAAATATGAAATAAATTATAATCAAACAAAGAATCACGATCGCACATTAATTCTTGATCATCTAATCCATGATTAAATGATGTATGCATATTTTCATTTACTGCTAGTATTCTTATTCAATTTTGATGTTTTACTAGAGAAATGTTTATGAACAATTTTCTTTTATAATTCGTTTTATAAACATACTATTTTAATTTTTCTTTTTTATTATTTTAAGATTTCGTATTCATTTTCAAAAACTCCCCCTGCTGTAACAAATTTTGTTTTCATCATACACCTGAATATTACTTTATTTAAGAAGATTTCTGTAATTAAAAAAAAAAAAACAAAAATTATTTGAATTCGATCAATTATCTTTCTACCAATGGTGGATTTGGGGGGGGGGATGGTTTGTCCCTACCTACCCAAACACTGTAATTTAGTTTGAATTTTATTTTATTATTATAAGTATATATCATATTTCATTTTTGTAAATAATTTTGCTTACACTCCTGAAAAAAAAAATATATATATATATATATAAAATTACGTTCTTTATCCACCATTACTATCTACCAAATTTTATCTAATTACTTATACTCAATTTGTGGAATTTATTGCATTTTTAAAAAATTAAAACACTTTATTTTAATGTTATATATTTATAATTTATCATAAATTTTATAATAATCTATATTGTTTTTTTTTTCAGGTATGTATCGTAAATAAGTTAATCTTACCTACAATATCGATTTTGTAGTGTTTGGAATATTATTGGTAAGTTTAACAACATAATTTTTATTATTATTTACCGAATCGAAATAAGTATATATAAAAAAAAAAGTAGTTAAATGAAAAATATGATGTAGGTTACTTATATAATAGGTAAAAAACTACAGAGTGATCTAAATGGATTAATCCAAATAGCTACACTCGATATTTTTAAAAGTATTGACTTTTTTTCAGATACTTTTTTGAAAATCTAAGATACGAGCAGCTCTAAAATGTTGCATTACCATTATTTATTGTCATTATATATTTTTGGGAAGAAACACTACTTACTTTTTATTTTAAAACAGTACTCGTACTCGTATACTCGTATTATACAAAATTCTATAAATAGATGAAGTATTAGTTCTAATATATGTCAGCGTTTGTATAGTGTTTCACTACTATTAGGAGAGTTAAAACTCACCCATACTTGAAAGTGCAGGAATATCTCATCAACGGACTGACGAAAATGAAAAAAAAAATGTTACCAAAATGTATTTAAACTCCATATATTTATATTATTTTTAATATTCAAGTGCTATTTGAAAATCAAAAGTAGCTAATCATTTTACCCATAAAAATAAAATAAATGTAATATTTTTGAGTAGCTTGTTTCTTAGTGTTCAAAAGTGATTTGAAATAATTTAATAATTTTCGAACTATGGAGTGTAGGCCCTTGAAGGATCATCCTGGGACATCCTATGCGTAAATTATAATTTATGTATCGTTATTTATTACGTACTATATTATTACTGAACTCTTGTCAAATATAACCGTAACATGAATTATTTTTTTTATAAAAATATGTTTTTTTTATATTAATTGTTTTACTCTCTGCACAGTTTGGTGAAATATAACTCGGTTTGCAAGCATCGGTGTAAATATCACAAGCTCCGGCATTGTATGTGTCGGGACATTTTTGATTACAATCGACACCATAAGTTCCTTTCGTACATTCTACAAAACGATTATTAATATACACATTGGCTTGTCATGTGTTACGTTTACATAAAATATTATAATGATGATTTACTTGTTTCACAATATTTGCCTGTGTAACCAGCCGGACACGTGCACCCGAAACTATTGGTGCACAGTTTCTTCTGTTGGCATTGCGTTTGATGCATCGAACACATTCCGGAACAATCGGCGCCAAATGTGTTTGGTCCACAAGCTGAATCGTTTCGGGTGTTAATATATTACATTGTAAATATTTATATTATGTCGAATAATTTTATTTTCAAAATTGTTTACCGTAGTCGCATTTATTCCCTTTAAAACCGGGGGGACACAAACATGTGTCTTTGTACACAATACCTCCATTGAGACACGCCAAAGACGACGAAGATGATTGTTTATTATCTATCAATTTTGAAGCATTGCCTAAAACTATGTTTATAATGTGATAACAATGTTAATACATAGCAATTATGATGTTAATAATTATATTGATATATGTTGTTTTTAATTTTTCTCTGATTTGTACACTCAAAATCGAAAGCAAGTGTTTATTTTGTTATTCAATGAATAATATTTTGACTATACATTTTTTCTAACCAAATATTTGGATTTTTTTTAAAAAAAACCTTATTTATATTACATAATTACCGAATGGATATACATTGAAAATGATTGGAGTTTGTGACATCTTTTGAATATCTTTTCGCAGCTATCGTAAATATTTCTTCGTTTTCTGTAATACATTCATTTTTTTATTTCTAAATTATTAATTTTAAGAATAGACTTATGATTAGTTTGTTTCAGGATAAGGAAAGCGATACGACAATGAAAAAAATAGTTGAATTTTAAGTTTAAATAAATATTTCTTTTTTTTATAGATTAAAAAAGAATTGCCTACCATAAAATGAATTGCTAATTGTTGTTAGTGTGTACTAAATTTGGTTCACATATTGATTTCATTATAGTTGTATTTACTTTATAATTAACCATAAATTAATATTAATTTTACCTATTATTTCTTAGAATTATATATATTTAAAAATATTAATCTAGTTGATTCAATTATTATCCTCAATAACTTTTTTAGTAAATTCAAGTTAGATAAAAATATATCAATCTAGATAATTTTGCTAGATAAAACACAGCGTTGCCTACCGTATTCATCAGCGCATGAAGTTATCCTTTTAATTCCGAATTTACATTTGGTCGTTTCATATAATTCCTCTTTTTCGTATAATTCGTATGGGTTTTCCATATCTCCGTAGTTGTAGAATCTCCGTAAATCAGCTCTACGTATTGTTCGATATTCATCCGGTTTTTCAATTATGATTTTAAATGTATAGGGCTGGGTTCATGTTCTGAATACCCTACATTTGCTTTAATTACTAATGTTTTTAAATGGTTCTGTAAAGTAAATTAACTGATCATTTGTATTTTTATTTTAAATATTTCGGTATTGTTTTATAACAAATTGTAACATTTTTTTATTTTTAAAATATAATGTATTTATGATAAGGGTATATAAAAACCGGCCATTTACTCCATTTAACTCCGTAATTTATCGTTAAGATTGAGTGCACCTAGTTAAAAAATTTTTTTTTAAATAGAATTTCGGTATCGAATTTTGACTATAATCCTAAATATAAATATTGTGGATTTTCAAAACACGTATAATTGAACTTTGCTCAAAATCTTTTTTCGTTTGCAAAGATTAATTGATGCGTATAGAAATACATTAAATTCCGTTCTATATCCTACCTTCTAAACTTATCACCTATAACGATGGCCTGCCCATTGTTATATGTCTGTCTTTTTTTATTATAATCTTTACCAATAGTTTTTACACATAAACGTGTCACACATAACAGTTGTCTAATCTATTCACTTTTGTAGATCATCGTGGTACACGAGTGATTAAAGTTTATTTAAATACAATTAAAATCACATTTTTGACAGATAGCCTTATTAAAAAGGTAAACAAGACTTTAAGAGTCAAAATTCCTTGAACAAATTTAAGATAATTTGAATTCGGTGTTAAGTAAATTAATGCACCGCAAACATTTTCAAAATTGGCTAAAATATTTTTTTTTGTACACCTAATTTTCCTAATAAAACCCATTTAAATTCAAACAATCCGGCCAATGTATTTTGTGTTAATATTTAATGAAAGATCGTACACTCTGTATAGATTACCTTGATCTATTAAAGTAGCTATACTCGATATTTTAAATACTACCTATTGACTTCATTCAATACTTTTTAGATTCCGAGCGTAGCGAGAGAGCTATTGGTTTTACTAAGATGTTTATTTTTTTTCTTCTTTTTCTTTGTTCTAGTCTGTAGACATGTTTTTTCCTAGTAAACTCGCTCGTAAGTGTAGCTCTTTTTTTGAATTCTCAAGCTGTCTAGATTGTAATTTAAAGAGGTCACTTTTTGATATTCAACGCCATTTTTTAAATAAAAGTACTTAAGTGGGGAAAAACGTAGGAAAACGTACAATCTCACGATTTCATTATTTTATAAAAACACGGACGACGTTTTCTACCAGAAAAAATGATTTAATTGAAAAATCACAAGGAACCTTTTTTGTTGCTTTTTTGATTTACTTTCCTACGGTATCATCGCCTAAACTTTTGAGCTTTTAAGGAATTTTAATTTTTGGTAGTTTTTTTTGCTTTAATTCGGTTATAAATACACGTAAAGACTTGAAACTTGGTATTAATACTTGTATTGGACTTATCTAGACGTGGTAAAATTTCCAAAATCATCGAACTGCCTTTTTTTAATAATCGTTTTGAAATCAAATTTAAACGAAAATCACAAAAATTTTGCATTATCGAACTACGCTCGAAATCGTCTTTCGCCAAGTAATGATTTATCGTTGCTTACAGATATAAATGAAATAACCCATTATGTATCCTACCTTCCCAACTTCTCACCTACAACAGTGGCCTCTCCCATTCCCAGTATCAGCTCTTTTTTTTTTTTTTGATTATGTAAGAAACTGATAGCCTTAAAATTTTACTATTTACTTTTGGTTTACAAATAATAACCTATATATTAAAATGTCCATACATTTTAGTGTTGAAATTTGTTATTTACGTCAATTCATTGACGAGATATTTCACTTTTAAGTTTGGGTAGAGGGAAAATCAAAATTTGTTTAAAAAAAAAAAAAAAAAAAAAAAAAAAAAAAAAAAAAAAAAAAAAACTATTACTTTTGATGGAGTTACTACTGTTGCTGTCTGGAAGTTGGGTAGGTAGGATTATGGAGTTAAATAACTTTTCTAACCTTAAGGAGAATCAACAAATTTTCTCTCAATAAACATAGAGCAAGATATCCTGAGAAATAACTTTATCTTAGATTAAAGATAATATAAGATAAAATAAGAATAAGAATAATATTAATAATACATGCAAATTAATTATTTTGCTTTTTTTTTTTTACGCATTAGGCTCAACATATGTAGAGACAGTGCATTGGTCGGCATCGTATTCTAGAGGGTTACGCGTGAAAATACCGATTTCGTATTTATTATCCGCTATGAATTCTAAACTTTTTTCGTCCGTCAAATTCGATTGACATACCAATAGCGTTGGTCATTAAATGAATATTTACATTGCAGTTTGATTTGTCTAAGAAAAAAAAAATGTATAATTATATCTTTATATAATGTGTTTATTTTGCGTAAATAATAATATCAAATTGTTTTACTTTCGACTGAATCACAAATACTACTGTACTCTTCTGATGCATCGTAAATTGTCGTGATATCGAAAACATCTAAGAAAAAAATAAAATAAAATACGTTATTTGTAATTGTATTCTAAAATTGTATTGACTCCAAGACAGGCATTCAATATACCGGTTAATTTGGTACAATCGATAATTTGATTAGCCAAGCTAAGTAAAAGATAATAATTTTTGAAAAAGGTGGCAAAAGATAATAACAATAACAATAATAATAATAAATGTATGATTCCCCTAAATAATATAATAATATGCTGTCTCGTCTTGAATTCTTGGAAAAAATTATAAACAAAATTATAGGTATGCAAATACCTGCTTGCAATAATAATTCATGTGTATAGTAGTAAATAGCCGCAGAATCCGACAGTATGGTGGCAATAATAGAAATCTGCAAGACTCGTATAAAAATACTCTAAGTGGCTTTCATGGTTGAAACTGCTTTCGTGATTTTTCAACCAAAAAAAAAAATATATATATATATAGTATTAATAAAATATTATTGTAATGCGCGCGTACACTTGCGAGCCGAACAGACGGCGAACCGTACCCTGACACATAATTGAAACAGTGTGTGTCGAACGCTCGCGAGGGCCGGGGGTTTTTTTTCCGCCGAACTTATCTGATCGTGGGTTTAAATAAGTTCGCCGGCATCATCTCAAGAAGTACCGAAGCCGATTCCGTTTGTTCGGCGGTTGGGGTTCGGAAGCGGCTATCAAAAATATACACGATACAATGACGAACATGGTACGAGCGGTTCGCGGTCGGTCCGGTTAGGTTAGGTATATTATCCAACAGTATTATTCTGTACATTATATTCTAATCGGTACACGTCTAATGAAATACCAACCGATGAACTTTTTTTGTGATACCGAACGATCGATGTAACATCGCTATTTTTCAGGCGGATTGAAAGGACAAAAGTTGTCGTGTTGAATTTCAATATGAATTGTGCTTTTGCGGGAGAAGGGTTTTGTTTTTTGCAAGATTTGGACAACCCCTCGGTTCAAATAAAGCTACTAGGGAAGGAATTTTTCGTACGCATGACGTTAGTGTATCATATGGATTTTTCTATACTATGATATTAAATAAGTGCGAGGGAAAATTCGTCTCTGGTGACGGAGAGTCGCTGCAGCTCATGGGTTTTTTTTTTTTTTGGGAAGTTTTGAAGTTCAGGCACATTATATATTATTGCTCGTCTAACATATTGTGTAGCGGTGAATGGATATCGTATTGCATAACAGAAATTATTTCGAAATGTTTAATTTTGAATTTTTAACAACGAGAAACTCGTGGTCCGTGTAATATATTATGGATAGTTTAAGAATTACCGGTGTCGATACAATCGTGTATGTAGGTATTATAGGTATATAGGAAACGATTAAACGAAAAATGCAAGCGGACGCGTAATAGATATAGCTGTGCGTATGTACTTTTGTTGTAATAACTCAAAAATGATTACAATAATAATACGACGACGTTATGTAACGTGTAAATTCGCAGTGTTTAACGGTCGAGTTCACAAAACACTCACAATGACGGATTAATGTGCGATACTTAAACCGTCTATAAGTAATATTTTTCAAAACTTGTACAAGTGCAGTTGGAAACCCGTATAGGAAAAGTAAAAAAAAAAAAAAAATTATTAAACAATGTATCAAATATAGTTATTTGTTTGCAAAATATAACAGGAAAAAAAACACACAAACTAGTAGCATCCCCGGGCTGTAATTTAGGGAGGAAAAAAATATTTTGTTCCGTCGCAAATAAAACATTTTAATTTTTATTAGCGCATTGTTGAAAATTGCTGATACAATAATTATTATTATCATATTCTTTTTGAAAACATATAATACCTACGTATTATTATAGCCATTGTATATTATCATGATGTATAGAGTATAATTATTTTGTATTGAAATCGTTCCATTGTCCCCCCCCCAGGTTGTTTTTATTTAACAAAAAAAAAAAACATATTAACCGTACGCAGAATATTTCAATACTACAGTCATTCTGACAATACATATAATAATAAGTAAATGTGTATTATAAAGAAGTCTGTATATTATAATTAAACAAAACGGGAAATACACCGAAATGGCACCCTTTAATTCGTAGTTATTTACGGTAAAATATTGTTTTACTTAGGTGCTAAAAAAATAATTACTTTGAGTAGGTCGGTTAAAAAAAAAAAACCACGGATAAGACGCTCAATGGTCATATTTGTATAGAATGTGTAATTATATAATATTAACTATAAGACTCTTGAAAAAAACTTTTGGTTATTAAGAATTTTCCGATTTTTTCAGTTTTCCCTTGTTTATCCTATGGTTTCTAGACTTCCCACTTAAATAACTTAGGTCTACCCGTGGTGCGGAATTTGTCCTTTATTGTCTCTTTATTTTCGACTTTTACAAAATTACATACTCGTTAACCGATGCAATATTATATAGTTAGTAATATTGTTACATTTAATTGTTCATATGATGACATCAGGAACCCGCGAT